TTTTTTTTCTTCCTGTTATAAAATTCTAGGTGTTCTTATATTTGTTTGCTTATAATTTAGTTATTACAAAATTCAGCTATTAGTTAATTAACAGATGCAGAAAATTGTAATAACGTGTATCACCCGTTTTTCTTCAATCTGCAATACAAATTAGTATTGTTTTTATCATTATTCGTAGTTCTAAACAGCTAAATACTCCTTTTTTTCTACGAGAATGATCGGCAAATTAAAAGCCTGAGTATAATTGTATCAGGTAGTTGAAGAATAAAGGTAAACAAAAGCTCGAGGTATTATCGCTGTTTGATTAAATGAAATTAATACCCCTGGGGTGTTTCGAGTGGTGTGCAGGCACTAAAAGTAAGCTCGTGTCACGTGTGTCGAATACTGCCCCATTCTTTCCCTTTGCCCCTTTTAACTTTCCCATCCGGTTTTCAGTTAACCCCCGGTACCCACTTCGAGTCTCGAACAACCCTTCGACGTGTTTTCAAACCTGCGATACCTCTTCCGAACGCGAAAACTTTTCAATCGGTAGTAAACCGATTTCATTCGATCACGAACCAACCAGTCGAACAAACAGATCGGTCGAACGGGCACGTTTCGTAAGCGATTATGTGCCACCGGCGGTATATATTGCCGTTGGAAAATAGAGAATAGTCAACCTCTACCTTGGGAAGAGTTTCGAACCGTGAAAAATTCGGGCCAGATTATTAAATATCTACGTTCTTCTCACAATTTTACTTCCTTTTTCTTCTTAACGATAGTCATCTGTGCAACGATCATAATTCTGATATTTAAATTACACTCTTTTTTAAATCACCCATTATAGTGAATTTTTAGCGAGGTACTTGGTGCGTTTGAAATTATTCAATTTTTCATTTATTTACGATATTCTTCAAGGATCGTTTCAGTTTCAAGGAGGAGAGATTATCGAAGATACAACTTGTTGATACGTTGTGAAAGAAACAAATGGCTTTTGAAAGATTATGCTAGCGAAAATGTCGCAAGCATAATCTGATTCAGATAGGCTGCCCTTATTCCGACGATCTGATCGCAGGTAAAAGATCTTTTACCGATTTACGAACTGGTCGTCAAGTTCACAGGATCATCGAATCCCTCACAATGGGCGGTCGTGTTTTTCGTTACATTCACCAGGATCGACCACACTTTCTACCTGCGTTTATAATCCGGAAGCATACGCAAGAGCACGCACCGTGGCTCGAAACATTAAAAAGATACTGTATCGACACCTCGGAAAAATATGTGAGAAACATTTCGGCGGGGTCCATTTTAGAAGATATACCTACTTGCTGGATTTCCGTTGTACCTTCGAGATGAAAAAGTTCAAAGTTATTACAATATTGCTTTCAATCATTTTAGAACGAATTAATAAAATATAAATATATGTAATCGATACGTCAGATGTTAAAATAAACGAAAAATTTGTTAAAAAATCGAAAAGTTTCAGAAGTAAATAAATCATCGTTATTTTTGCATATATTTTCAACAATATTCAATACATTCTCGACAAATTGAACTTCCTCATTGCTTTAATCTGTCTTATTTTTGCCTTCTAAATTCATATATGCAGCCAAACTTCGCATTTTAAACCAAAGCGGACCACCGATCTCTTGAATAAATCATACGTTTGCAATTTTCAAATTAAACGTATAAATTGCACGAGTTTGTCGCGTTGAAGTTAAACTGTCACCGATGAAAGACAACTGATTTATGTGCGCCAGGTTACACTTGAAATAATTTCGGCAGGGCTGTCGCATAAGTAACCACACGCCTCTTCCCATGTGCTCGAAATTTTGTCCCTTTACCGTTCAACTAAAAATAACACGTTTCTCTGCTAAAACACACTTCGTTTATCTTTCAATTATTTCATCAGTCGTTGAATTTTGTTAGTAAACAGAAACAAAAAACAGAAGGAAATAGAAACAAAAGTGTAACGAAGATTTCTAACCAACGATCTCTCTCTTTAAAATCTAAAACTTCGGTATTGCTCTGAGAATGATGAAAAGTGCATTTTCTAGAACTCTAGCTTTTGCATCGACTTTTCCACGAGCAAAATTTCTCCTGTTCGCAGTTTCCCACAGTAAGCGGCTCGTAACTTCAATTTAAATCGCCAGGCAAAATTGACAGAACGGGGTATGCATCTAGTTGTAGAATAAAATTGGCTACGATCAATCTTGATACGAGAAGGGCGCACAGGTGCGGCGATCGTAAGCTACCGAGTGCTCGCCACCGACAAATTTCCAACCGGCCGATTATATTTATCGCCTGATTCCAGTCGGCAGATTACATTATTTCGATGCTTAATGCGTTACGTCTCCGCCTCGGGTTCTCCCGGCAAAAGACGGGATGTTGTGTAGTATGTGGTAGCGGGGTACGACAAAATATTCGGCAGGGTTTCGAGATCTCTACGCTAAATGTACTCAAATAAAGCAATCTCCACGATCAGACAACGGCAACGCGGCGGCGTTTGTCTTTTATCCCCGCAACTTTACTCCTTCCTTTTTCCGCTTCCATCCAGTTCCTTCTACCCCCCTCCCCTAACCCCTTCAAGTATTTTGATGACAGTGGCCACTGGTCACTGCCGGCGGGTCCAGCTTCCTCTTCTTTGTCAAAGCGAACCCTTCTGACAAAAGCAAAGGTGGTAGTCTGCCGGAGAATTAATTACTTTCAACAATATTTACGTTCTCTCATCTAAGAGATTCCTTCCTTTCTTTTATTTCGGGAGTTTCATTTTTCTTGTCTTTTTTTTTCGACAAAGGCTCGACCCAACTTCCCCTCCCAACCTCGAAAAGGTCGAGAGGAAGATATCACACGATTTTTATCAAGTTTGCAAAGATTCTCCTTGTCTTCCTTCGTCCGGAGGACAAATCTCTCGCAGCATGGGAACCGTGTATGAAAAAAGAATTATGGGAGATGTGGACGTTGTCACGCGTCAGCCATTGGGACATTTAGGGACCAGAGATATTTATGTTAACATCGTTGAATCGCTTAATCACGAAGTTTCCTGATAAAATTGCTCACCGGTGAAATCACGTTTGTATTGTAGAATGTTTGTACATGTTTATGTTGGTATTTTTCATAGGTAGGTAGTATCGCTGTCGGTTAATAACAGCTGGTGATTAGGATTCTTCTTTCGAGTACAGTGTACATTTTTTCTACCTTCCTGTGTATCTTTCTATTCTCTTTGGAGAGAATACAGGTTGTGTTTACTCAAGCTTCATAAATTTTCCACTTTTCGTACAATTATGATCCACAGGTAGCGTTTACTCTTAGCAGACAGTGCTAACTACCCAGGGATGGGGCTATGTGCTTTTCTCTTCTTCGTCGTTGATCATGCTAATCACAACTTGTTTGACGTTACGAATGCTAAATAAAATTTATATCAATGCTGATATTTTTATAATAGCGTGCTCGTAGCTCGTACGAAAATATACCTACGGAATTATAACTATCGTGATAATTTGTCCATCATTCTTCCGGGAGAATTGAGAAGATATTCTCTCACAGATAAGATTTCTCCCACAGTAGAAACTGTTTGACGTCAAATGTCAAGCAAGATTAACGCTAATAGCGTGTTAATACCAAAACTGCAGAATTGCAACGGTGATTCTATCGAGTCATTTCTCGCTGCATACTTTCAGTTCTTCAGAAATTAACTTAAACACACTACTCTATCCTTTCGTCACTTCTGCAATTTGATCTCTTATGAAATAATGACAATTTTATTCTTTATTTTACAAAGTTATTTAACGTATTAAACTTTATTAAAACGCTTGAAGATAATGGCAGATACTCGTCGTATTAGTATTATCAAAATTGGGCTAATTAATTAATTATAGATTCGTTAAGTGAAACTTATTCATCATTGGCAAAAAACGGAAGATTTTTTCAAGTTTATTTACACGTGGAATTAAAGGGTCGATAAAACACGCGGTGCAAAGCTTTTGTTTCTTTTTGCAAGGAGCATAATTTTTCGTAACAACTATGAGGTAATTAGTGTTTTCGGGGTATAAAACGATAATCGAAAGAAAGTGCGGCGCGATAGTAATAGTGAGGAATTGAAGGTGACAAGACTGTAAAGAAAGAGGAAGAAAGAAGAGTCATCGTCGAAGAAAGGAGGCTGCAGCTTCTCAAATTGCAACGAAACCGGGCACCGACGCGTCGCGTGGGTTTCGTATGACGATCAGACCACCGATGACGATGCTGTTTTTCTTTCGCCCCGAATATACTCTTCATCCCTTGCGATTCATATTTGAAGGGAACTGTAAACCTAACGTAAGCAATTACAACGTATATAGTCTTTCGTTCTTACTACGCGAACCTCGAGAGATTTCGAATGAGGAAAAGAGGCTTACAGCTTCAGTTGCGACTATTAAGAAAGAATTTGCACGATCGAGAAGGGAAAGACGTTGAACAACTTCAGAAAAGTTTATAAAACAAGTATATTTGTCAACACATGCCATTTCAGTCTCAAAGAACGCACTAATATTTATAATAAATTATAAGTACCCGCTTGGTTCATCTTATTATACAACATACGCTACGTTAAACATCTATTCGTAAAGCTATTAACTATTTTACAAAATTTACTATGTTACAAGATTTACTATTTTACACATTTTACACAAGTATCTCGGAAATACGTAATTGAGATTTTCTCGCTACATATCGCACGATAAATATTGCGTTAATAATAACAGAGAATGGGATTATGCGATATCTCGTAACGAAATTTTACGCAATTCCTCTAAAATTTTTCTAATCACACTTTCGACCATCTACAAAAGAATAGCAGCAAATTGTTCGTTTATCTAGAATTTCGTACGATTCGATTAACCATAGTTCATATTTTACATAATACATTTGACAAAAGAAGAAAAACGTGTCTTTCTCAACGCACAAATAAAAATCCAATTACTCCAATTTTTCGTTCAACTCTCCCCACTATAACACTCTCGTTACAATTAAACGCGAATTAATCCTCATTGCAACAAATCGTATAAAGCTGTGATGTAGGACTGCGCCATTTGAAGCGTCTCGTATTTCGACAACTGTCTGTCGTTACCCAAAGACGGTAGGTAAGTTCTCAATCTATCGAACGCTTTGTTCAAATTCTGCATTCTTCTTCGTTCCCTGGCGTTCGCCGCGAGTCTTCGTTTTCTAACCACCGTCGAACTCACGTATTTACCTCTTCGCCTCACGACGTTCCGATTACCCTCGGTACCGTCTATCACCGATCCTATATGATCCGGGCTGTCACTCATCTCACCGTCGTCTTCGCTGTCACCGTCCACGATTCTGTCCGAATAGCTGCTGGAAAGATTGCTGATAACACTGCCGCGTGACGACTGTGTCTTCTCGTGCTCCATTTCAGCTTCTGCGTCCAGCGTTCCGTCGGTATCCGCGTCCATGCTGTTTACCTCGTCTGTTAGATCTACCACGTTCATCGTGTGTTGCCTTACCTCGCTATTAATCGGGCTTCTCTTCGTGTTACGCCTCTTGTTTAATTCCTTGGTGGTGCCCAGCAAACGATAGGTTACCGGGGCACTTATTGTATCAGGCTCGGACGATATCGACAGGGTTGTAGCTGGACTGATTGATCTCAAGCTCGCTGTTGGGCTCGGTGTGTGCCAACCATCGCTGCAATTCCCGTCGTAAACGATGCACCGTGGTATCGTGATAGTGCTTACCGGCGGAAGATCGGCTTTGTTCTTTGAATAAGAGTAACTCGGTAAATCCAGATATGTGCAAGATACAACTTCGTCTTCTCTCGGCGGGTACATGTATCCGTAACGAAACATTTCCTGCAGCTCCATACCGT